CACAATTGGAGATCTAACGAAGAAAAATCGCCAGAAAAATCATCCAATAAATCCCAGAAAATCCAACAAACCTATAAACCTCAAGCATATCACCCAGAAAGGCAAAAAAAGAAAAAATCACACATAACAGGAAATCGAAAAGAAGAGAGAACTTACACATGATGATTGACGAAGAAGTCCTAGAAAATCCGAGAAGAACGTTGGAAAATGAAGAGCGTCGGAGAGCTTGTGCTTTATGTGCCGGAGAAGCAGAGAGTTCGAGAAATCTGGAGTGTGAAAAGTGAGAAATGGGGGAGGAAGAGAGTATTTATAGCGGAAGTGGAGAAACCCTAGCCCTTAGATTAAAGGCATATCCAACGGATGAGATAATGCACGAAATACGAAGCGGTGGAGAGATAAACGTCTTGTCAGATTCTAGATCATTTTGAATTTTGAAACTCTAAAAATCTGGACTTATCCAATCAATGCGGAATTTATAAGGCAGACAAGTCGTTTACAAGTCGAAATAACATATGGACACGACTGGAACCAAGGAAATCGACTAAGAAAAAGATGTCCTACGAGGAGACGCGACTTAGGGCAACGCCAAGTGGCAAGGCATGAAAAGATCCAAGCAAGATACTCAGTCGTCAAAACTTCCTCTTAAGCTCAGAATCGCTTCGAGTAATTTTTGGAGGAACTAGATGATATAGCCATACTATCGTATAACGGTTTGATATAGCCATACTATCGTATAACGGTTCATACTATCGTATAACAGTTCAGACATTACCGAGTCGACTTTTCTAAAGTCGACTCTTTCTGCGGGCTCCTTATAATATCTTCGGTCTGTAAGGGCCCAGGCGTCTCTCTCAGTCAACTTCCAGGTGTCGACTAGCAGAAGTCGACTCCCTCCGGAAAGATGGACAAGCGCATCAGGGTCTACCGACAATTGAAGATGACCAAGTCGACTCGAGTTGATGGCCCGAGTCGACTGAGAAAGTATCGAGGCTCATGGATCCCCGACGATTCCGGTGTACTTCAACATATCATAAGGAAGCTATTAAGGATAAGAAAGAATCTAGATACTGACTAGGAGATGGATGGAATGCGAACCGACCAGGATATTTTGGGCATTTCCAGTAAGTTGGTCGGGGCATTTTGGGAAATTCAGGTAAATGTTTTGCTTCTATATAAAGGAGCTGATGTAACCCCAAAACCCTAACTCCATTCATTCTATACTCTCCTCAATTACTACTGCTGCTCTCTCAGAGCAGCTCTCTTCATCTCTCTTTCACATACTGACTTGGGCGTCGGAGGCTCTACGCCAGAAACCCCTCCGGTGTTGAGTTCTTGCAGGTGTTCTCGCGGTTCAACAACGGTTTGAAGGTGATCGAGGCAGATCTGAGCCCATTCCCATCGGTTCATCTCAGATCTATATCTAAGCCCATTCCCATCGGTTCATCTCAGATCTGAGCTTGTTTCCATTGATTCACTCCAGATCTGAGGAGAGACCCATCAAGAAGGATGATAATCCTGGCCCAAACGTTGGAATGGGTCTGATTGAACCCTAAGCCCCATTCCCGACATATTCAGTCAGAATCTGAGGCAATGAGAATCGTAACCCGAATATCAAATTGTGCTTAAACACTCCGATGCAACCCTACGGAGGACTGTGAATCTGTTTGTCCGGATACGGGAAAAACATCCTTACGCTTTGCGGAAACCAAAATTCATTCCTCATTTAGAGAATACCAACTTCTGTGAGTGTGCTAGCAATTCTTCTAATCTCTATATAGGATTGGGTGGGACATCTTCGATGTGCCCAACCCCAATAACCAGACGAAATCGGCGACGAATGTCCCGCCTCAACACACAAATGGGCGTCAGTCCTAGTTGCAAACCAATGATGGAGATAACGTCACCGCCACCTAACCAGACGGCTAATTAGTCCTAGACTCGTAGGGTAGCCTTACGCATTAAATGCACATGTCGAATTAACTAAATGTGCACTGTACGGCGCAATGAACAGTTTCTAGCTACATTTACTATAAATACCTTTGTAATATGTCCAAAAAGGAGGAGAAAAAAATCGGACAAAAAGCACAAGACAAAATTTCCTAAAGAAAGATATGAATGGATACATTATCCTAAGCTGAAAGCACCAAAGGTCGACCTGGTCTGCAGTTCATTTATGTTTTAAGTATCTACCTATTTTATCCACAGATTCTCAGATGACCCTTAAAATCTAATCCAAGCAACACCATTTAATATTGATATACTCAAGTACTTAAATTTTTTCATTTGGATATTTTATATAAAAATACATTTATTTTAATTAGCGAAACAATATAAATTTTAATATCATACTTATTATTGATATATATTTTTAAATATATGATATAATTTTCCCAAAGTAATTATTTTATGAAACCACATTCTACTTAAATCGAATTTATGAATAAAAAATATAAAACGACACTAATACTGGATGAATATAATGTAATATATTATCAATTATGTGCATATTTTTTAAACCCGGCCCAGGAATCGACCCGGACAAGTCTCCGGGTCAACCGTTGGGTCACTGGGTCAATTGCTGAACTGGATAATTAATCTTAAAATTTCTTAAATTATGTATAGAGTATTTTGTTATATAAATATAAATAAAAGTAACAAAATTAAATATTTTGTATATAAAATTTGTACTTTAAAGTGTTAATAATATGTATTTCATGATAAATATTTACCACATTAATATATATACATAGTTTTATTTCTTAAAAACAAAAAATATTTCCAAAAATAAAAAAATAATAAAAAGGCCCGGTCAACCGGGTTGATCCGGTCGGTCAATGCCCGGTTGACCCGGTCGGGTCAATGCACCGGGTTGACTGGGTCAAGGCCGGGTTGGTCGGGTTTTGACCGGGTCCTTTGTTGCCTGGTCCGGATAGCCCACCCGGACCGATTCTGGCTCTGGGTCGACCGGGTCCTAGGTCGACCCGCCGGACCGATCCGGGTTGAAAAACACTGGTTATGTGAACCGTACGAGGTTTGTGTACTAATTTAAATAGACATGTTTTATGTAATTTGCGCAATTTAAATTTCATACAATATTTTAAATAAATTAATACAAGTAAGTTTAATGAGAATTTTTAATTTACAAATATTAATAATGATACAAAGATTAAAAATATAATTTGTCGGGGGTGAGGAAATCTTTGAAAACCTAGGAAATCGATTAGCCGGGCACCATTCCTCCAAACATACAGGATGTTTGCGTATTTGTTGACCTGAATGTGTTGAGGATCTTAATGTTCAGAGTTTAGATTCCCAAGCATCTAGGTAATAATTTATGTTTGCGAAGGTTCAACTGTGTTGTATAGATGAAAAGGTACCAATATTTTGACGTTTCAAATTTCGGTTGATAACTTAGTTTCTTTATGACCGCATGTATCTTTTGTGCTATTAATCTCCATCACATTTGTTTCAACGTTTGTTGATGTAAGCTGCAATTAGTAGCAGTTTTCACTTCTTTTTGTTGAGCGCAAGAAAGAATGGGTGTCGCCTGTGTTTTTGCTAAGCGTAGAACTGTCACAAATGGGTCACTCGGTGATAATTTGCAGAAGCACACACACTATTCACCAAGTTTGAGCTTCAGATGGGATAACCATCGACGACTAGCAGGTGAAGAGACTCATTTTATCTGGCCACGTGACGAAGTATGTGGTGAAAATAGGATGTGAGTCAAATTTAGAGCAACTGTTGAAGCTGCCTTTGCTTATAAGGAGGGTAGTCTGTTTGCTTATAGTTTGTTATATTAATTATTAATATAACAATATTATTTGTCCAAACCTAATTACGAAGCATGATTCTTCGCCAAGTAGGATTCCGAAGCACCAGAAGCAGCCACGTAGGCTCAGCGCATTCGGGAATTATATATAGAGAGGATTGTCGTGTCTATGTATTAGTTAAATCTCTTAAAGGATTTTATGTTGAATTATATTTTGGTACTGAAATATATAGTTATTTATTAATACTAACATCAGCCCTCTAGATTCTTTAGTAAACCAATTTTTAAAATACATTATGAAAATAAATGTGTAGGTGAAGATGAATGTGCATGGTTGGAAAAACAGATGTTGTGTACTATTTTTATAGCTAACACATTTACAATTCATAAATGTCAGATAATTATTTTCATATGAAGCGAAAAAATTAGTCTCAAACTTTAGTCTTGTAATTTTTTATTTCCCACATTAATTTTCAGACATTGAATATTTTATTTCACAAATATATGACACAAAGGTTCTTATAGATGACGTCTGACACAATTCGAGCTCAATTTTTTTTGAAGGAACAAAAAAAACAAGTAGCATGTTAATTGATAATTTAAATGTTACACAAATTTTTTGGGGCCAAGTAATGAATTGTACTTTATAATTTATATATTACAACATACAAATACAAATGCATGCATAACAGAAAAGCTGAAACTACTGAAAGTCTGAAATGATTAAATGAAGTTAATAATTATTTACTATATTACTAATATAAATATAATAATAATGTATTATATATGTATATAATATTTTGTACAAACTAATTTAAACGAGATAAACAGGACGGTTCGTAACAAAAATATTCAAAACCGATACCGACATTGTTTAAAACGGTTGGAGGCTGGGAACGAGACGAAAATAAAGAAAATTTTTTTGAACCTTATTTTTTGGAAAGGAACCATTTCGGTCGATTTTTTTGCCCACCCCTATCAAAAAGGCAGGGATAAAAGTGTCAATTAGTGTTGCATATATTTAAACCGTCTTGGCCTTTTATGAGATTTTATTGTTTATTTATTTATGATAAGATTTTAGTTGGGATAGTGGGCATAATAAACCATAATATGAGGGGTGAACTGAAATTGATCCGAAAACAATGGGGGTGCAAAAATAAATAATAATAAAAGCTGCGAATAACCTGTCGCAGGGACTCGCGCCTGTCAATAGCCCTCTCTCCTCGTCATGGCCGCAGCGGAGCAGCCGCTGAAAAAGCGGAAGTTGTACGATGCACCACCTCAGCCACCGCCGCCCCAGTCACCACCACCACCACCACCACCACCATCGTCGCCGCCTCCTCCTCCGCCACAAGAACCACCGCCACAGCCTCCGCAGCCGTCCACGCCGCCGCCTTTGTCTCAGGAGGAAATTCTCCGGAGGCGTAGGTGCCAAGAAGAAATTCGCAATGTTTTTGAGTGCTATAAGAGGATAAAGTTCTTCATCGACAAAAAAGACAAGTGTTTCACGCCCGAGCTTGAAGAAGCCTATCTCTCTCTGATCACTGCCGCTGGAGGTTACTGGTTTTTTTATTTTTTTATTTTTTTCCTTCCGTTTTGCTCTGCTGTCCCTATTCAGTTTTTGTTTAAGCTCATAAATGTAGGGTTTCATTATTTTTCCTTTATGCCATACTTTGATCCATATATCAACCATGTTTCCATTCACTACATTATCTTAATTTTACACAAATTTGATTGGCTTGTCAAAAGTAGACCTTTCATGGTAGCTCAACTCTTTGTGAAAGAAAACAATTAGAGCCGACTAGTTAACGTTGTTGCTGTTGGTAAACTATGAAGTGTCAGTACAGCCTAGGACCTCTGTACTGAATCTTAGAATTGCTTCTCCTTATGCCAACAATTGAAAGCCACCAATACATGAATTGAAGATTTCAGTGCACATGGGGAATGTACTCTTTAGATATGAATGTGACTGCAATTGTGCACAATAAGATTTTCGTCTAATATCTCAATCTCTAAAGCTGTGACTGAGAGTTCGATAAACTGAACACATAACTGCGCAATGTAATTTGAATTGATTAGTTTCTCTTTAAGTTTAACAGGGATATTGAGTGCTTATCATTTTGAAGTATTCGGACTTTTCAAATCAGTTTTTTTCAGTTTTTTAAAAGTAATGATGTTAGTTATAACTTTATATGCCTTTGGTATGTAATAAGGTATCACTTCACTCCTGTCCCAAATCAACTTAATAGTTCTGAATCGATTAGGGCAAATTATTCAATAATTTTAATTAGCAGATACTACTTTGTACAATTACTCCAAGTTTATGACATGTTATGAGAAGTTGTAGATTGATAAAAATTTCATTTCAGGAAGATATCTGCCAAGACCAGATAAGTGGTGGTCGACTGAACATATTTTGTCATATGCATCTAATTAAACGTGTTGGAATGAGCTGGATTCATTTTTCTAGATAAATAGTTGATGTCACAGTACTGATCATGCTCAAGTAAATTGTGACACATAAAAAAAAAATTTGTGGCTTTAATTTTCTCATGTCTAATGTAATCAGGTTTCAGAAGGGACAGTTAACGATGAAAATTGTTGCAAGTGAAATACAGTAACAATATTCATTGCTGCAATTTTGATTAAGATGGACCATATTTTCTAAACAATTTATGGTTTCTTCTAGTTGGGTCCTGCTGGTAGCTTAACTGTACGAAGAAGTTACCTTCAGATTAGTCCTTCTCCTCTAACCACGATTATATAATGGGTACAAACAAAGTTTTCACACAGGGATAGCATCAGACTTTGGTCATTATATTTATACTGATTAATTTATTTATGATCTAACTAGGTATTTTTTATGAGATTTTGCTCTAGTGATTTAGAAAATGACTTTAACAATCACTTAGGACAGCGAGGTTCTTGGTTTGTGGTGCCTACAAAAGGGTCTCCCAGCTGTATAATATGAATCTCACTAGTAAAATGCTATTATGCACTGTTGCCTCCCAAGGTGCTAATTAATTGAAATTTTGGTTTGATCTCTAAGTTCCAAATCCTACTTTCAGTTGATATCAATTGATTGATGTAATTATGGTAACGAGATAATTCATGTGTCCCTAACTTCATGTGGTCTTTGAGGGAGCATCTAACTGAATTATGTGCCAAATGCGGAAATGTAATTAATACGCATCTAACCATTTAAGTGGCCTGTGTCATTCTGGAATAATATTTCATTAATGGTGTTAGCGTTCTTGTTAATCATGCAAGAATTATGATATGATGATGCCATTGCAGGTAGTGCAAGTGCAAAGCGTCTAGCAGCAGAGTTCATTCCACGCTATGTATCATATTGCCCTACTGCTCTTGAGGCAGCTGTGAAGGTTGTCGTAAATATTCACGACTGGTGCTCTGCAATGATAAGCAGTGGGGAAGACATTGATGGTCTTGCGTTTGAGACTGCTAAAACCTGCATATTAGGTCTCGTTGATATCTGTCAAGCTGCTGCTTCCGAGGCTCCAACTTCAGCTGTTATTCAGGGGATATGTTATGCAGTTTTCCTCAATGTCTTTACTTTTCTTGTATCCTCTTTAGAGTGGAAAGATATCTTTGAGATTGTTGATCAGAGAGTTCTGAAAATTTATGAAATTGCAGAATCCTTCTCTGATTTCAATCGTGAGTTTTTGGAGGAAGATAACTCAGTATTTCTCAAATTGTCCAAGTTTCGCGCTCTATGTTTCTTGAGGATTTTCTTCAGTTGCCCCAAAAATTCTCTTATTGCTGGCTTTGAACTTTTTGAGGCCACTGGAATGGAGGGGATTCGGAAAGGAAACTACTTTCTTCGTCAATTGACAATGGAACTGAGAAAATTTGGTGCCCATCATTTGGATGAGGGATGCGCGGATAAATCTTCCATTCGTTCCAGCAGATCAGATTGTTCTAGTGGTGCATCCAAGAACTGCTTGTTGGGACTGGTAAATTGTAAATGCTTAACCTTAGGACTCTTTCACTTGTTAACTTGGTTTATTGCTAAGCTTTTTGTTAGTTTTGGTATTTGCTATATTTGCTATTATTCTCTCTATTTTGTTGCCATGAGTATTGATTCTTCTGCGAATTTAATTTCATGTTCATTGAATTATTGTAGCTGAAAACTAGCTGAAGGTTTAATTTGAACACCAAGCTTTTGATTTGCTTGGCACAGTATTATACACCTAACAAATCAGCTTTGCTTGCATGTGATGTTGTCTTCAGGTGCTTTGTTGGTTCCTATGTACTTGAGTTGCTTGACACTTTTTTAGAGTTGGTAACCCTATAACTATATGCAATGAATGGTTGCCGATGCATCAAAGAGAATTACTCACGACATATCTTTTGCTGTCGTCTTTAGAAGTCTATGCTTTTTGTGATACTGTGAAAGTGCTTTGTAATTTCTATAGCCAGATAATATTGTGAGACGGAATTGATTTTCTTTTCCAACATGATTTACTGCAACTGCTTGGACAACTTTAGGTAGTCGAACCTGATGACCTTGACAGGTTTCACTTATGCTTGTAGCATTCTGTATCAGATCAAAATATATCTGAAGTTTAATTAAGTCCTCCAGTCACACTCTTATTACTTGAATGGTAAATTATTTTTCTTATTGCACGTTTCAGTTGTACTGGTCTGAATTTCTTTTTACTGCATTTTTGTCTTTATGGTTTGTTTAAACAGGTTCTCTGTAAAGATCCGTCGCTCAAAAGTTTGATTTTTACAAGGTACAGGATGCTTTGTGATTCTGCTTCTTCTGAAGTTGTTTCTGATGCTACTTCTATTCTAGAAGGAATATTTGAATCTTTTGTACAGCAAGTGAAGGCTGAAGACAGACAGGTAGATAGTGTTGATTGTTATTCTTCGTCATCTAGAGCAAGAACACCAAGGGAAATGTTGAACAGGCAATCTTTCTCACCTAGAGCAAGAACACCAAGGGATCTGAGAAGCAACTCATTTAATACTGGAAATCGTTCTTCCCAGATGGAGAGGATTGCAAATATTGACCTCCATTCACCCACTTTAAGACCCTCCGCTGGAGGTGCAAGTTCATCATTTGAATCCCCGAGGAAAAATAATCCGGCTCTTTCATCTTCAACAAATTCAACATGGTACTCTGATGGAGACCCAGCTGCCATGGATATATATCCAGCTTCAAAACAATTGTGGGTGGGATCATTGGGTCCTGATGCAACTGAAATGCTTATTAGGTATCAGTTTGAGAAATTTGGAGTTGTTGAACAACTGCGGTATCTCCCATTTAAAGGCTTTGCTACTATTGAGTACAGAAACATTATGGATGCTTTAAAAGCTAGGGAGGTAATGCAGGGACGTTCCCCTTGGGGTGCCTGCCTTAGGGTAAAATTTCTGGATGCAGGATTAGGAACAAGAGGAGCTATAAATGGAATTGCTGTTGGGTCAAGTCGTCATATTTATGTTGGAAATGTTGCAAGCATCTGGGCCAAAGATGAGGTGATGCATGAAGTTACAAAGGTACTTCACAAGAGCCCTCGCATGGTTTTTGATCTGGGCAGTGAGGGTGCATTATTGTTGGAATTTGATTCACCTGAAGAAGCTACCATGTTGATAGGTCATCTAAGGTGGTACCGCAAAGAATATAGTAGCCTCTGTCCACCTTCTAACAAAGGCCCAATGCATGGAGACAGTGCGCAACCTGCTCCAGCTTCAGTTAATGTAGACATGAGAAACAATTACCTTTCTAACAACTCGATTGGATCACCTCCGGCTCATAATATGCTGGAGAAGCCTCCTGAGAGTATTATGACAAGGTTGTCATCTTTGCTTGAACAGTTACGTGCAAAATATAACATTGCTCATCAAGGTTTTCTGGATCATTCACCTGGTTCTTCCATGCGAGAACAAGCATGGGTACCAACAAACGTACTTTGGATTAGCGTTCCAAATAAAATTGACTTAGGTATCACTGATGATGAGTTGCTAACTGTTTGCAATATTGCAATAATTAACACTGGATCCATTGCCCGTTTGAGTAGAACTAGTATGCCTACAGCTTCGTATTGGCTTGTCGAGTGCAGCAGTATAGATACAGCAAACACTCTATTGAGGAATATACGAGACTGTCCTGGGAATTTCTTCCAAATAGAATACAGGTTTCATATTCTTTTTTTCTTTTGGTAATTCTACAGCATGCATCCTTTTTCAGTGTTTAGATTTGCTTTCTGTTCAGTCTTTCTCATTCACTGATAATTTTGCAGTTTATATCTAAAATATTGCCCTACACGTACACAGTAGTGATACTGTTGTTTTGGCACATCCGGCCTTTGTATGTTCAAAATATGCCATTTTTGCTTAATTGTTGCACCTTTTTGTTTGTTTGTGATTAATGATCAGTAACCCTGCAAAGCACCACGTCACTGCTCCCACACCGAGATCCGACACCATTTCCATGGAGCTTACATCGCCAAGAATGAGTCAAGTAAATACTGGACCTGTCATGCAAAATGCGCATAGATACCAACCAACTTGGGCCGGTGGAGGAGGAATTCCAGACGTTGGAAGAATTGGTCCACCTGAACAATCATGGATGTATGGGAATCCTGAAAGTGGGATGCATCAGGGAGGAAATCCTGGTCCATTTACGCCACGTCAGCTGGTTCAACCATCTCCATTTACAGGACCTGTTTATGAACCTCCAAATAGGTGGGATGCACGTGGAATGGGTCATCATCCGCCCCCAAATCCAATTCCACCCTCTGTAATGACCTCTAATTCTCATACTAATCCACAGGGAACACCATTTGTCCCTGTTTCTGTGACTCCACTGGCACAGATCCATGCGACTTCTATGGTACCATACAATCCGGTCTTCTCTCAGCCCGTTGTTCCCACTTCCTTATCATCTTTACCCCCACCCCCACTAAATGTGGTCCCTCCACCACCTCTTCAGTCTGATTTCCGGCCGCCCCTGCCGCCTTATCCCGAGCTGCAGCCACCACCACCTCCACCACCACCCCATGTCCAGCCTCCTGCATTTCCTCCGCCTCCTGCTTCTCCTCCGCCACCTCCACCATCTGTAGCTGATGTGGCAGAGGGTTCTGGGCCATCTCAGGACTATCCCTGGCAAGGGATACTGAGTAAAAGTAGCGTTCACTATTGTACAATACATGCACAGAGAGTGGACTCGGATATTTGCAACTATTTAACTGCTATTTCTGAGCCTGCAGAGTGAGGATTCTTACTTTGATCTTGATACCTGTACTGATTAAGATTGCAAAAAAGCGTGTTTGATTTTTTTATTTTTTTCATTGAATGTGCAGATGGCCTGCTAAGTTAGATATGACAAAGCGCACTGATCTCCGACATGTGAAATCAACATTTTCCAGTACTCCACCTCACAGAGTGAGTTACTAGAGATATACTGTGTTCACTGTGTGTGTATGTGTGTGTGTGTGTGCATATGAGTGCGCGTGTGCACGTGAGTGTGTATACGAGAGGGTGTACTGATTCCGTGAGTATCTGCCAGTTGCTCCGTTTTTCAGGTTTTGATCGGTAAACTTTGCTCTTACTTCTCGGTGTCAAAGAATGTCCAATTTACTTCTCTTAATTGCAGGAACAATCTGTCCTGCAAACAAAACGTGAGAACAAATGATGGATAAATTTAAACCTAACAAAATTTTCTTCTTAAAAAAAGCCATTTTTATGTCAACAAGTTTCAGATTTGCCTCTGGATTTAGTGAATTTTTATTATAGTTATGAATAGTGTTGTATGTGCAGTAAATGCAGTAACGAATTGTTTGGTAATTGATGTGATAATAATATAACCTTTTTTATTTTGTCTTGTAACATTATGTGATGGAAACTATTTATTTTCTTTTAAAAGTCGCTGGGGTTATCATATTAAAACATAATTTGCCTTTACCAAACCACTGCTTTTAATGGATACTATTTTGACTTTAGAAATATTGTTTCCCCTTGAATTAGGTGGAGTTCTTTGTTTTGGATTCTCATGCCATGAACAGTTTGATTATAATATCGACACTGCTATTGTGAGGTTGGATTATGGGCTCTATAAGTCAAACCTGCTGAGATCTGAATCAATTGCTATTCACGTACGGCATATTAAAATCACCTTTAGCCAAAGCATCTAACTAATAAAATTAGGAATATCACTCACCTGCAGTCATCATCAGGAGCTTAGAAAATTTGGAATAGTAAATTATTTCGAGTTCATATTTGTTTGTTTATAATGGCTTCTCACTATGTGCGAGAGGGTTTTATGTAATTGTGTACCTATCCAAAATCACGATTGTTTTGTTATTGTAATAAAATTAGAGTTCTTTTGTTATTCTTTCCAAATTCTGAATTTCGGATCCTCATTTTTCCGTTTAAAATCTAAGTGTCAACAGTACTAATCAGGGCACCCAAACAATAATTTCTGCCACCTGATTCACACCTTATGAGTAGCATAAATGGCTCTATTACTGTTCACATTCTCGTTGAGTACCTGCCATTCTACTGCTGTCGGGTGTAGCTGAAATTTTCTCATGAAAATGTGGCACAAACAGATTGCCTATCCTTGTAACTTTAGCTCTATACAGTATTCAAACCTGAACACATCTGAAAAGCTCCATCGTCAACTGAATGGGGTCAGTTTGATTTGACCTTACTTCGAATATGTGCATTTTGCAATTTGCGTAGTTGCTTTTGGTCAATTTTGTGACAGCACAAAGTTTGTTAGCTAGTTATATATAACAGGATCATGTTTATTTAGAATTTGCTGACTCATCTAACGATTCTATGTCTTGAATGTGACAGAGGGAGATTTGTTGGCTGCTTCCTTCGTCTCATGATGATCAGAAGGGTGTAAGTTGAACCTGCAACTATATTTTTTGCTTTGTGCATCATATTTCATAATTTGTTTCTCTTATTTGCTCAAGTATTTGAATGGAGTCTATTAATATTGTTGGAAATTATTCAAATGCACCTCTATTCAAATTGGGTTCCGAAAAACTAGTAAGGCCTTGTCTTCTTCTTCCTTTTTTTTTTCGATTACTGTGTACGGGAAAAATCTAACTCTATTTGCATTTGGAACTCTCCGTCTCTTGACGGCCATGTCTACTCACAGTCACGCTATTGAAATTTTTGCATTTCTGTTGTGCAGTTTCAGGATTTCATTTCGTACTTGAAGCAGCGAGACTGTGCAGGAGTAATCAAAATACCGGCTGCAAAGGCTATGTGGGCCAGACTACTCTTTATTCTTCCATACTCTTCTGAAACATGCTCGATGTTATCTATTCCTCCGAATCCGTCTCTTTGCCTAATTGGTTTGGTTGTCCCTAAGGAAACAAATACCGATACAGCTTGAGAGATGTACTTGACAGGTTCACGCCCCAGGTCATGCTTCATAATCATCCAGAAATTGACTCGAGGATGTGCGACGAATTGTGTTGAGAGTTCGAACCGTGTGAAGTTGTGGTATCATGCTGTAGCCAGTTTCTCTTCAATGGCTAGAAATAGATCTGTCCTAGCTCAATCAGAATAATAATAGGTTCGAGATTTTTTTGCATTTTCTGGAACATGCAAGGCCCAAGGGCAGAATGATAATCGTCCTTATAATGTGAGTAAATGATTTGTGATCATCGTAAACCAGTTTTGCCTATTTTATTTTATTTACTAATAGTAAGCATCCAGTGGAAGACAATGTACTATATTTTTGTTAAAAAGTTATGTTAAATATAAGTTCTTATTATAAACGTAAAAAACATCATTATGGAAATAATAATAATAAAATAAAATAAAAACTCGGATGAAAGTTCATAATGTTATCTTATGGTTTGGTTATTTATTTATTTATTTATTTTATTTTATTTTATCAACATATAACTAGTCATGTCTGAACAACATTTCCTTCAAGAATAAGTCAATGTCTTCAACATATAATTGGTCACGACGGAACAACAGTTTTTTCAAGAATAAGCCAACCTTTTGACTCTTGTTAATTGTCATAATGGGGAATTGTCTTAATTGAAACTTGAAATGTATTCTAAAATGCGTTAGCGTCATTGGAGGTATCAACAATTTCACCTACATGGTCACCAATAAGTATCTTGCATTAAACCGCATGAGTGAAGAGTTTGGTTACAAACAATTGAATTAAACCACATGAGGGAAGAGCTTAGTCACAAACAATTAGATCATTAGAGGTATCAACATCTTCTCAGAAACTAAGGAAAGAATATCTAATGAAGACATGAAGAAAAAGACGCGTTTATTGATAACATTTGAATTCATTAAATTTTGATATAACATAATTCTAAACCAGAACTGTAAAATTATAGTATGTTCTTTAAATTTTCATAATATAATGTTATATATCATTGAAATAAAAGAAAAAAAATAAAAATTAATATTAATATTCAAAATTATTTTTATACAAATCAATATTCATACACTACGTTAGTTTGTATGATCTATGTTATTGCGTTGTATATCGCATGGGCTATAAACTCATATATTGAAAAAAGTTGATGTTTAATTCAAAAATAGAAATAAAATTGGTTTTTTGTTTAAATAATTAGACTTACTTGTCAAGGATTTTTTTTTGAATGAAATTTTACATTGGATTTTTATCCATCTTTCGTGAATTTAGTTTTTAAAATTGTATGCATAAATATTGTCTTAATTTTTTTGGCATCGTATCAACTTTTAATATTTTCAAACTGCAGACCAAAATATTATCCACTTTTTTAGAACAAGTTATGTGCCATATTTTCTTGGAATCATTTATTTATCAATAAACTTGTTTAAAAATGCAAATACGTTTAAAAATAGACGACAACAATTTTTGTATTATATTTTCTACAATAAATTTTGAAATTTGAATTTAGACATTTACATTAATATATCCAAATATAATATTTACAGCATTTTAATATTTTACATATAAAATCATCACGATGTTTAAAAGTCATGTTTTTATATTTTTTAAAAAGGAAAAGACTATTTTTTTTTCATAATCTTTATTTTATTTTTAGAAAAGTAAAAGAATAATGATTTTTTTCCTTTTCTATATTAATTAGTAATAGGCAGGGATAAAACTAGTTATTTATTTTCATAATCGTTATTTTTATTTAACTAATGTAGAGATTATTTTAATTGGAGATATATACAATTATTCATTGCTCAACATATAATATAGGTTAGAATTACTTTATTAATAATATAAAAGTGGTTTGTTTTGGACAATTTAACTTTAAAATGAGAAATTACTAGGGGATCCTTTCCAGTGCAAATAATTAACTCGAGAATAATAGTCATTATATTTATAACGGGTAAATTGCACCAAACCCCCCTGTAATATACTAAATCTGCGCGTTTTCCCCCTGTATTTTAAAAATTGCGCCATACCCCCTTGTAATATACTTTTGCATACACACTCTCCCTGCTACGTTAACGCCGTTACAAATCCCCCTGACGGCGTTACTTTTTGTTC